GTTGTAGGGAGAGTGAGGTTTTGTGCAGAACACAATCCCTGGATATAAAGGCAATGGAAAATACCAGCAACCAATTCCTTTCTGTTTTACATAAATATGAAAGCAGGCAGGTGTCATTGTTAATGGCTGAATATCAGTTCAGGAATTGAAAGAAATCTACTTTTATTCTTTCATCATGATGCTAAATCTACTATTATACTTTGAGCAACTTCTAAATTGTTTCTGAAAAGAATCTGCTTTCAGAAAACAACTGAAGATTGCTTCACTTTGGTGGTGAGTTTTTCTGTGTTTTGCTAATGTTTTGGGGTTTTTTGGTAAATAATGTCAGCTTTCTGGTTGTGTTTTCAACATCTGCAAAAAGCAAAAATAATTTTTATACTAATGGAAAAGCCTTCTCATTTCCACAGTAACCAGTATTTTTCAACTAAATGAAAATACATTAGTAGAGATAGAAAATCCAATCTTTTTACAGCCATGATGATGGAAAGTAACTGAATGCTGTGGAAAGGAATCAGGATAAGTTTGTCTGCAGTGAAATGGGCAGCTGGACTATGTCACAATTTCTTGAAATGATCTTTATCAATTTTGTTTTAAGGGATGTTTTCTGTTTTAAACAAATTTCAGTAAAACTTCTTTGCATAAAGCTTCCAGTTAACTCATGTAAATACATTAATTTATGTTCAGAAAGCCCTCTAGAGAGAAGTTGCATTATTTCGGTTGTGTACTTGGCTTATAAAATGATGCAGAAGGTACCCTTCAGTTTATTGGACATCATGCCAAGAAAGATTTAGAAATAATCACAAAGAATAGCCTCAAAACAACTCATTTCTTGTGTTTTAGCTGCTGAATCAATTCCCTTTTATCCTGATGGTGAATGATAGACGCATAAAAAACCCCAACTTTATTTATTAAACGAAAAAAAAGCGCCTTAAAATGGCACAAATGTGAACTGAAAAGAGAAATGAATTTTATCTACCTCTCAAGGGAGGAAGAAATTGGTCTGGAAATTCATTGAGTGAAATGAGTGAGTTATTTTGCTGACTGTCAGTGGTAGGTAACAATGTAATGCAATAAGTGAAGGCCAGGTTTGAATGGATAGAAAATTAATCTTCAGCCACTGTCTCCTGTGGGATTTTTCTGTGCCAGTATTGATTGCATTTCAGCTCCTGACTTGAGAGAGAAATTGGTTGGAGTTGGGTTTTAATTATATTCACATGCTGGATCACTTTCCATCAAAATAGGTGTTTTGCTGCTTTTCTGAGAACAAAGTTTAACTGGATATAAAACTGTACCAACTGACACCACAATCTGTCAGGCTTTTCATTGAAATGCAAGATTAAAAAATTAATAACAGTGAGGTTTTCCTTTTTAATCATTTTTTTTCCTTTTTCTTTTTTATTTTTTTAGATATAAGCTACTTGAAATTCAAAAGTTTGCAAATTAAAATCAAATAGATTTATTTTCTATAGAAGAATCCACTATAGTATAAATTTTGTATTGTCAGGAGGAGTTCAGCACTAATTTGCCAATAATGGTTCTGATACTTACCTGTTGTGTACAGAACTAGTTCAGACACCATTTAGATTTACAGAACAAATTATTCCTGTGTAAGGGTAACTTCAAAATTTTTAAAGGATTTTGTTATTTTTTGTGTTTGATATTTGGCAGATTGATGTGTTATTTTAGTGTCAGAGCTGTACATCATAAAATACTGCCACGAAGGTCAACGAGAGCATTGTGAAAGCATCTACATTATTTTATGTAGTTTTAAATCCATTGTCGGCATTAATGAAGTTGAGAAGAGTTTTTAGATTAATGTTTTTTGATTGGATATCATGGAATATTGGTAGGAATAACAACAGAGTCAGTCACAGTCTTTTTCAGGGGACCTGTGTGTGTGTGTGCTATTAGCAATGCGAGAAGTAGATTTTTTTTTTTTTTTAATTTTAAGGCATTCAGGTCATAACTAATTAAGTGGTTTCAATTTCAACAAAGTTTGATCAGATTTTGGCAGTAGACCTGAAGCTTCTTTCATAGCATAAGAGTGAACAGAAGGACTGAAAGGTTGTAGTTATTAATTGGAATGAAATTGCTGTATCAATTAGAAGAAACATGATCATTTTATGTTTTGATGCTTCAAGAATTTCAAGCAAAAAATATAAATATATTGTAATACAAAAACTTCTGTGCAAGACCTGCTAAGATGGACTGGATGGAAAAATGTGTGATCCTTGAGATTGTTTTTTGTAGGGCCAGAAGCTGAACTTTGATGAACTTTGGCTAGTCAGTCCATTCCAGCTCAGGATATTCTTTGAGTCTGTGTTCACACTCTTTCTCTTTTACCATACCCATTACCTCCCATATATTTCTTGTGGAAATTTAGTTGAAATAAATCTTTTTACATTCACTCATTCAGGTATTTCAGTATGGTTTTGTGGCCTCATGGTCCTCAGTTATTTTCTGAAGTGAAATTCTGAATTCTGAAGTGTACTGTGAAAGCCTTGAGGGTTTGTAGTCATTGCTACTAGTTTTTAGAAATAAGACTTTTAGAATGCTTTTTTAATCAAATGACTTTCCAACAGAAGGGAGATTTTGCCACATGAATGACTGACTATTGAGATTGCATTTGCATAATTAGACAAAGTCATTACTTTGTGCAACTTGAAGCTAAAAGATAACTTATGGAAAGAACTCCAGAATTTGTGTAATGTTTTGCATGCCAGTTTTGGGGCATGAAAAAAATCTTGTGGGATAATACAGAAGCAAAAAAACACCCAAGCAAACAACACAACAGAAACCTATGAAAAATGAAACCAAATTGCATTGTCTGAAGGTGTCAAAATGCTGTGTCATTTCAAATCATACAATGCATAAACTGTTACTGATCCTGGCTTTAATCTGCACCCTTCCAAGTAAGTTATAATGGTTGTGAGCCTTGTCTGGCTGCTGGCTGCCCACAAAGCTGTCTGTCACATTCTCCTGTACCACCACCCTCTCCAGCAGTGGAGGGGTGAGAGAATAAGACCATAAAATACTCATGGATTGAGATAAAGACAGTTTAATAAAGGAAAGCAAAATTCAAACACTGAAGCCATGGAAATCAGAGATTTATTCTTTATTTCCCACCAGCAGGCAATGTCCAAACACTTTTTTGGGAAGTAGGATCTTAGGACACACAGCAGTTGCTCCACAGATACTCCACCTTCATGATGAATGTCCCCTCTCTCCTAATTTCTCTGAGCTTGTAGTATTAAGAATAACATCATTAGAAAGGAATATCTCTTTGATCATCTTCACAGCTGACCCTCCCAAACTCTTACTCCCAAACTCTTACTAATTCCCAGAAAGGGGTTAAATCCTTTACAACAAATTGACCTTGTCAGCATAAGATGTAGTAGCTATGCTGCATAAAAATAATCAAAATGAGTATCCAGCTTCTTTTCTTCTGGAAGTTTAGTAGACTTGTGAGATTCATCTCACCTAATTCTAGGCAGCTGTGTTGCTGACTTCTACATCCAGGTGATTTGCACTACTTCTACAATCAATCAAAAGTAGGAGGCACTTCTAAAGCATGATTCATGTCATGGGAAAATAGGTGTCTAATTAGGATAAGATGAATTGCACTCCAAACATTCCCATTCCTCTTCATTCACTCTGAAGGCAGCCTGCAATGATGAGCACAACACTGCTGGGTTGCTGAAATCAGTGGCTGTCACTGGCTAGAGGAGTTCTGCCCTCTGTATTTCTAAAGGAAATCAGTTCTTTAAAACCCACCCAGGTTTTTAGGTTTACTTCAGGCAGCATTTGAACCTGTACTTAGATGGCATATACTTGTACTGTGACATTGAGATGAAGCAGATGAGAAAACATAGGCAGTTTCATTACATGGCATTGTGGATAAGCTAAAGTCTGTCTGTCTGTACTTAGATAATAGAGAAATAGATAAATAGATAGATAATGCATAAATATATAATAAATAAATAATAAATAAATCGATAAATAGATAAACAAAGGATAATAAACAGAGTGGCCTCAGCACTATTTATCAAGCATAGCACATTTTCAAAAACTGATTACTCTATAGTATTAAAAATATCCTTATAATTGCCTCCAATAGCTGGCCTGAGTAATCATTCGATATCATAGTTGCTGTATTACTGCTTTAAGTGGCAGTGGACCCATGGCATGGGGCCTCTTGTTCCAGCTGCAGCTGAGACAGCTGAAGGCACTCCTACCTCTTTGGCCTTCTCTACCTCCTTGGTTCCACACTTCAATAAAATCTCAGCTTTTAAAATGGTTAAGAACTAGTACAAACTGACTGAATGAATTAGAAGGAACCAAGAAATGTGTATCAGGCTGCAGACAGGTGAGAAAAGGCAGACAGTGAGCGCCTGAGTTTTTGGGACCTGCCCCCTAGGATAGATGTAACCACTCCATGGAGTTTCACTGAGACGTGCTTAAAATAAATCAATGAAAGAAACCTGATTCAGTCAGAAATCCTAAGGCTTCATTTCGTTGCTTTTTCTGGATGTACACCTATGTTTCTGAAAAATCTGTTTATGCAGTGTTTATTTGTGGTATCATTTTCAGATTTGTGATTTATGATATAATCTGCAGAAGGAAAAAAAAAGTAACATTTAAGATTTGGTGCAAATTATTATATGTAAGAAAAGGTAATTAATTTGCCTTGTGTTATGGTTGTAAAAATTCCATGCAGTTATGAAATTGAAGTGTGTAAGGTGTTTAGGCTCATACTTTTCTTTTGCAGGTCTTCATTTGACTGGATTGCATTGGGTTAATCAAAACTGAAAGCAAACTATACATAAATATTCCTTGACCAGGAGAAACTAATTGTGCTTATATAGAAATGTTATATTGTGTTCAATGTTAGCAGTGAAAGAAAAGCTATGATTTTTTCACGTAAAAAGAGAAAATCTGAGTGGCATTGTTTTTAACACACTTTTTAATATTTTGCTCTTTACATATTTTTCTTTTAAAAGCCTGAAAAGAATGAAACTGAATCTGGCAGCCAGAGAATCAGACCAGTATTTGAAGATGATCCTGTTTTCCGACGGCAAACATCTTACCAACATGCAGCAGTCCACATACCCACAGATATTTATGAAGGCTGTAAGTGGCATGTGAACAAAGTGATTTTATATTTTAAAACTAAGCTCATTATTTGTGTCTCATTCTTAAAACAATGTTTTTCTACATTTTTAGTACAGGTTTGCTGTTAATGTCACCGTTACTTCTTTCAGTGCTACTTCACAGATGTGCCGTATTAGGGATATGATTAATTTTTTGAATTGGTAGGTGCTGCAGTTAAAGAGATCCATTAGGATTGGATCTGAGTTTCACAAATGTAACTGGAGGTGAAACAAAACTCTTGCATATTCTGATGATCTGATCCATTCTTTCTCTGTGCTGTTCACATCTAATACAAACAATTCTTGACAGCTCTTCTTTACACTCTGTTTGGCCTCAGGCAGGGATGAGTTCTGAAAACATTTTTAAGTATCACATGAGCTGGTACAGTTTAGGGAAATAACATGCTGTGTGAGCTGGTAGTACCAATATTTCATCCAGTGCATTTCTAGAACTGCAGTAACAGAGTGGCAGAGAATTTACATAAAGTCTTTCTAAAGGATGCAAAAAATTATATATATACATGTGTATACAGATGAGGATTCTTTAGTTGTATTTCAAAACTAAGTATTTATCTTTCAAAATGGAAATAAGTCCCTGTGCTCATCATCAAGCAAAAATCTTTACACAACAAAAAGACATTTCAGCATTCAAAGGAGCTGCATATTTTTTAAAAGGCGGGGAGAAAAATTAAATAGGATTTCTATTTTTAAGTTTTGATTTTTTTTAAGGTCCTAATTTCAAGTATGCAGTCTTTTTCCTCTTTTAAAGTCTCATCAGAGGAAAGAGACCCTAGTGTGACCTGTGCTTTTTAAAATTCATGGCCACAGTTGTGTGCAGCTTCCATAAATGGCAGAGGGATGAAAATGGAAATGTCACTGTGATGGGGGAAAGAATCATAGTAGCTCGTATTCTTATATGGTGAGCTTGACTGACAGACCTAAAGGATTATTCTGGGATTCTGGCTTTAATAAGTGCTAAAGTGCACCTTAATTGCAGGATTACAGAGAAGTGACAGGCCATTTCCTTTTTTTCATTTTTTGGAAGAGAATTGATACTTCGCTGTTAAAATGTTGGAAACACTCGCCTCCAGTTATTAGGATATTTGTAAATGCCGTGTGAACTTTGGTATAAGATTTTAATCATAACAGTACATAAAATGTTTCCTTGATGTGTTGAATTTAACATCTTAAATGGAATTCCTGAGGACACACATCCCTTAAAAAATGTATATTATGTAATGTTCCTGTACAGCCCATAAATCTGAAAAGGAAGACAGATTATGAATTCCACAGGAAAGGTACAACTTTAGTATCTAATAAAATTATGATAGCAGAAAGAAATGTACATTTCTGGACAGAGAAATGTATGTGCATTTGCAACATATATGGTCTGTGAATATTGGATCTAGTTTTTATATTAATTACCAGAGAAGTGGAAGTGTAGAAAAATACCAGGAAGTCTACAATTCTATGTCAGAAAAATCATGTTCTGGTGTGTCTGTGTAACTTTTTGTTACAGATGGAATTTTCAGTGTTAAAAGCTTGAGAATACCTAAAAGTGACAGATTTCATGTCAATAAACACACAATGTTCACCAGGTTCTATTTTATAGTTACAAAGTTCATGTGTCATCTAAAACGCAAGTGCGCAATTGTAGGGTAGTCATTCACCAACAGATTTCCAGAAGTAGAATTTAGTGTTGTTCTTTCCACATTATGATCTACAAGCAATTTTTATAACTCTAGAAAGACAGATAAGTTATCTTGAACACTGTTGTCATTTTCCTGCCTGTTCACAAGAGTTAGCCTGTCATTTCTTGGGAGGTTTCAGTGTCCACTGTAACAGGGAGCAGCTGTAAATTTGAAAATGCTATCTGCAATTCCTTGTCTAAATCCCACTCAGCTTTGAAGCATTTGCAACACAGGCATTACAATGAATCCTTCTGAAAATCAGTGGAGGAGACACAGTTCAAAAGTTTTACAGCTTGGAAGTAATTTTTTTTTTGCCTGAATTATGCCTTGGCAAGCAGATTTCATTTTTTCTCCTTTATTGTATATGCTTTGCAGTTGGGCAAGAAAAACAAAGAATTGCTTTTTGAATCTCACAGAACAGTTTTCAATGACCAGATATTTGACTTGCCTATTCCTCCTTGAGATTGGTTTTCACTTCTCTTGCCTCTTGCAGCAGCAGGTTGTTGTCCCTAGGGGAGAGGGACAATTACTGTTAGAGCCACACATGGTCTGGATTGTCACTTGGGCCTGTCAATCATGCTTTTTCATGTAATTCATTATTTTCTGTATGAAACTAGGAATTCAACTCTTAACCATAGAATCATAGAATCATTAGGGTTGGAAGAGACCTTTAAGATAATCAAAATGCTATCCATTATTTTTTTAATTTATTTATGTTTCATTTATATTGTAGTTATTACTTATGATTTTTCATGATTTTTTAAATTGAATCAAATAATGAGTTTTTTTCCACTTTTTTTTTTTTTTTAATTGGGAACCTTTTTTGTCTAATAATTCTGTAATGCTGCACAACCTACTTAAAATCTAGTGTGGTCGATAAAATAATATCCTTTTCTTCCTATATATATAGTGATTTGCTTTGTTTGAAATATAAGAGATTCTTGTGAAGTAGTTCATGTATTTCACCATAAAAATATGTGATACATCATAACAAAATATCCATGTACTACATCCAGGTTATTACTTTGTGAGTTATTTGATTGTAGAAAGAAGTATTATGGAAGCTGTTCTTTTTATTATTATTTTCTTTTCCTGGATCTTGTGCCAAAACCTATGCAGAGACAGGAGAAACTCTAAGGAGTTAATTTACTTGCCTGTTTTTGAGGATTGAAGAAAGGAGGTAATCCCAATAAAATAGAACCAGATCAGACTTTTAATTCAGTATTTTTCAAGAGGCTCATTTAGGTTTTGAAATAAAATCAATCTGCAGCTGAAAACAGAACAGACCCTCAGGTCCTCTTCCTAACACATGCACTAGGAATTAGTCACGCATCTCCTATTAGTAATAGCTGAAGTCTTGTTTCTAAATCCTCATTAAAACTGAACCCTGCTTATCCCTAAGCAGAATATAGGAACTGCAGGCCAGAAGTAAAGGGGAAATCCCTGCCACAAGGAAAGCAGGGTTAATCTTCCCAGTGGATATACCACATGCGCTTGCTGTCCGGGATCCACTTTTCCAATCTGCTGCAGTGATTCCTTCAGGTCTGTGTCTACACTGGAGTTATTTTGAGGTGATGTGGAGGGATAGAATGTAAGAAAATAAAGATAGTGCAGAAGGTAGTCTCACACCTGAGGAGTTGCAGCTGCACTGATCACCAAAGATTAGAACAGGCCTGCCCTTATCAGGCCACAGCTGTGTCCAGTAAGATGACGAGTGCTACGAAAGAGTGGGTTAGCTGGGTGAGGAGAGAGCTGGAGTTTGTTGGATGGTAGTGAAGAGAGATAGTTTGTTGTCTGTGCTGTGAAGGACTCAGTGGTGTGAGGAGTTGTCCATGAGAAATCACTAAGAAGGTATGAGAGCCTTGCAATAAGATGATAACAAGGTGAGGTGTTAGACAAAGCATACAAACCAGGTTTGCTTTTTGCTGTGTGGTTATTCCTACTTTACTCCCTTTAAATCAGAAATAGTGCTTCCACATGTCACTCACTGCTTGATTAGTGTGGAAGAGCTGATTAAAGTGTCAGGTTGAAAGTAATATGTTGTGAACATGACAACATAACTTTGAATATATTTGGACAGCAACCAGCAAGAAAAAAGGGCTTCCTTTCTCCAAAGCCATCAAACGAAGCATAAATATTGAGTTACAAGTAATTGATGGTTCATCTACCTTAGTAATAATAAAATATAAATACTGTTGCTTCATATTCCCCTTTCATGGCAGTCAAAATTTTTCTGTTGTCTGAAGCCTTGTATTTATTATATAGTATTTGATATCAAGTATGACAGTAGATATAATAAATTTTGTCTTTCTAGTGGTGCATCATATATGTAAATAATTAGTTATGGATAAAGTATTTTGACATTCTGGTACTCCAGTATATCACTCAAGGGTAATAAAAACTTCTAGAAATAATTAGGGAAAAAAAAAAAAGTTAGATGCTTCAGTGATTTTTATCTTGACCAGAATATTATTTCTTGGTGAGTTTTTAAAATGTTGAACAGTTTCTGCTAATATTGTGTATCTCAGCCTAAGAGCTTGAAAATAAAAGAAATGCCATTTGGGAACAGCAGTCTAGTGGAAGGAGTTCCAGCACATGGCAGGAATGTTGGAAGTAGATGATCTTTAAGGTCCCTTCTAACTCAGACCCTTCTGTGGTTCTGTGAATAAAACCCTCAGAAATACTGGGAAATGAAACCATGTGTGTGACAATATTACCCTTCCAAAAGAAACCCCCAATTAAATAAACTAGGAAAAAGTGTGTTATCATTTATTTGTTGAAGGTCTTATGTGTGGATAACAAATGAGATTTATTAAGAAATCCAGATATGGATAAAGGGTTGTGTAAATATTTTGACGTGCTACATCCGCATTCCTTAAATATCTAAAGACAATAAAATGTTTGTGGACTTTTTTTTTTCTATTTAATTTAAATAGTTGTTACAAACAGCCAAGTCACTTTTATTACCTAAATTAATTGGTTCAGCATATTTTAAGCTTAGTGGTCTTGATATATTTTTTTGTTATAGCTGACAAACTGAAGATCTTGTCTTGGTTTATTGTAAGGGATAATTGAATAGTGCAGGCTCACTACATCAGAGATTGTAAAATGATTGTTTCAAGTCTCTGATTTTGAGTGTGTTCACACCTTTACATTTGGAAATAGATATTATGGATGTCTCGTGCAAATAGCATGTGAGATTACTGTAACTTCTGTGTGGTGTTTTTTTGTTGCTGTTGTTTTTTGTTAGGTTTTTTTTTGTTGTTTGTTTCTCTGCTATTTTAATCAG